TATATATATATATTTCCATATAAAGTGTAAGAAAAGTAGAATAGGAAAAAAATACATTCAAAAGTCCCAAATATTTGCCAAACTAAAGTGAAAGTGAATATTGAGTTGAATTATGCGACTCTGTGACAAAGGTTGAAAAATGAAGCAGACTATTAATTCAAAAGGATAATCTTCCTTCTGCCTATAGCAAGGTAAAGTGATTTTAAGAACAAAAGTTAAGTGATGTTCATTATAGGGAAAAGTATTTGCAATGGAAATAAATGATGTATAAGCCTGGTGAAAAAGACTGAGGTATCAATAAATGAGACGGTAAATACTAGGATTATGAATCTAATAGTGAAAATTAAATTACAAATCCCCGGGGATAAATGTCCCTTTAAAAACTATGAATCCAGCCCTGGCCAGTGTGGTTCAGTTGGCTGGGTGTACTCCCACGCACCTAAAGGCTGCTGGTTCGATTCCCAGTTGGAGCACATGCCTGGGTTGCAGACAGATCCCCTGTGGGGGTGCGTGCAGGAGGCAGCTGATCGATGGTTTACTCTCACATCAATGCTTCTCTCTCTCTCTAAAAATTAATAAAAATGTTTTTTAAAATTATGAATCCATATTGAAAATATAATAGAGTGGTGAGAAGGAATAAACAGAAAAGAGAACAAATCACAGAAGTTCCTGGCAAACAGGCTGACACTCATCACTAAGCTTGAGTACTAGTCAGAAGCAAGAATTCTACTGCCATAGCCAGGGCTCCAGGAGTGCTCGCTGAAGACGGCAAAGATGATTAGACTTTTAGGTCAGTCTCTATTACTACACTTCACTGAATAACATTTTCCTCATTTGTCCTCATCTTCCCCAGCATAAAAAAACAATATAACTTCGTAAGACAAATGTCAGAAACTTTATCAGTACAAGCAGGGTGATCTGTAAAGCCTTCGATGTTTGGTTCATTTCACTTATGTGACAGCCCAAACGAATTGGTCACAAGTTACACTACTAAAACGAATAAAATTCAAAATAGTTCTCATTCATTTCCTCTTTCCCCCTTTATTTACTTTGCCATTTTGTCAGCGAATATCATACTTATCTGTGAAAAGATTCCATTGAATGACAGCCTGGAGAGCTTTTAGGAAGACCTCATTTAAGAATAACAAAAGGTTAAAATAGAGAGGATTCTTTTGAAAACTATATCCCCTACAGCAGCCCCAACAACCTCTTCCAATTTGTCACCAAAATACCTAATGAAGAAAAATAGAAAATTCAGAAAAATGGGCCTTATAGTTAGTCTACTGCAAAGGCCCAGAGGATTTCTCATTAACCACAACACCACAGAGACATATAAGAACCACAGAAGGTCTGAGATGTGTGTTTTCCTGCCTGAAGTAAAGAAAAGCTACCTTCAGGAAACAGTAAGGAAGGTTTCGTATCCTTCTCCACTTTAGCAAGGATTTCAATGTATTTGCCAACCAGAGAATTGGGTGACAGACCATCTGACATAGAGTGACTGTGAGTGAGGTGGCCAGTGTCAGACAACCCTCCCAATCGGTACTTCCCTTATCACAGTCGCTCTCAAACCCCAGCTTCCAAGTAACAACGGGTCAAGAATTAGAACTGTCATTACATTGAGGGAGGTAGCTGACGGGACCCTCACAAGGGAGATTGCTGCTCTTCCTCTTCTCCACCCAGGAAGAGTGTCAGGGAGCAGGGAGGGATGATAACACAGGCTCCCACTTCACTCTGGGGCGGATGCCTTACCTGATTACCTCTGGTCAGAGGCAATGGAGCTCATTAACAGGCCCCCTGCATGGAGCTCAGAAGTGATTCTACAACACCCAAAATGATAACACGCAGGGCCAAGAACCGTCAGACATGAGTCTCTTTGTTAACCCAGGTTTAGAAAGAGCTCTTCTTATTCTGTAATGGATAAACAAGCAACAAAAACACACACCAGGGCTATAAAAAGAATACTGCAGAACAAAATTCCAACAATTTTGAGGGAGAAAACTAGGCTTTAAAAAATGTTTTAATTATAATCAGAAAAGAAAGAAAAACTAGAAAACTCTTTAGCGACTTCAATAATAATAAGAAAAGACCCCCATGTATCCAGAGCAGAAACAGAATGATGTTACTGATGGTGATGATGATGACAAGGATGACAATAGCTAATAATTATCACATGTGCCTTCTACTCCAGGTACTCTTCCAAACGATTTACACATATTAACTCATTTATTCCTCCTAACAACCAATGAGGTAGGCGCTATTATTATTATCTCCATTTTACAGAGATGGAAATAGATTGAGGCACAGAGAGGTATGAATCACTTAGTTGACATCACACAGCTAAAACACAGTGGCAGGTAATCCCGCTCTTAACCATTAGACCATACTGCCTGACACTCTAAGACATATAAGAAGTTGTAAATTAAAAAACTAATTACAGGCAGTCCTCGGGTTACGTCGGACTCGGACTCGACGTATGCTGTTTCATGGTTATGTCGCCATCTCCCATTTATTTATTAAAAAAAAAAAATTCCGTCATTTCAACATATGTACATATGTGCTTTATGTTTTTTATTATTTATTTATTACAAGTAAAG